ATACATGTATACCAGTGCAAATCTACTCGAATCCCTTTGCAAACAGTTTTCAACATGCCATAGCGTCGTGTTCTATAACATCTAATGAAAGATCTAAATTTTTGTTTGAATTATCAGACGAATACAATACAGTAAGGTTTACGCAGACTTTGTCAGACCAAGTCTTGGACAAAGAGAAGTTCATGTTAAAATGTTTTTCATTTATAGTTTCTAGTATAGCCACTTACAACGGCAAGGTGTATAAAACATAAATATGAGGTTGTTCTTTTTATGTTTTCATACAGCGTATATAAGAAAATTGTATATACATTTATTTTTGATTAATTCTCATTGATGTATATATGTTGTAACTGATGTATTGTAATTCAAATCTCCAAATGGAGGAAATAAAGACTGAATGATTGTTTAATTTGTGACACATTTTTATTGAAACGTTTTTACTTCAAGCTTTAAAAATAAGTATTCTGAATTTTGTTAAAGAGAGAAATAATCTGCACAGTTAAAGTCAAGAATTTTTGCTCAAATGATTTTTTTTTGTTTTGCCCAAATCACCAAACCTCGATCAAAGAAAGATAAGTCATTAATTTTTTTTTTTATTATGACGGAAATAACGGATATCCAAAGCAATTTCAAATTCTTAGAGGTCGCTCGAACAATATGTTATTTATTAAAACATATTTTGCAACACAATATGAATTGAAAATGTAGTGCTCTTTTCCCCTTATTATTTGTTAGAAGAACTTGTTGGTAGGAATGATGCATATTTTTATGAATCATGCTAAATTCGTTAAATGATAAAACAAATTGAAGCATTATAAACTGCAGGAAAAAATAGAAAATGTTAAACAAAAATACAGAATAATGACATACAAGATATATATAGTTTTCTATACTTTATATAGTATATTTTAACAAAATCAAAATTTATTTGGAAAAACATGCTTTATTATCAAAATTTTAATCAATAAACGATTTTTCAAGAAAAGTGTTTTATTCATATTTTAAAGAATCCTTTTTAAAATTTTAAAAATAATGCATGAAATATTTTTTAAAAAGCTTAATTGTTTACATTAAGATATTTTTTAAATGAACAAATTGCCCGTTTACAAAGATATTTATAAAATCAAATATTTTTTCCTTACATTTTTAAACGCGTTTTTGAATGTACCTTCTGTGAACGTATTGCTTATTTTTCATATGTTAATGTGAAAAATATTGTCAATATGTATGTGGTGGTGGGAGTATTTTAATGTAATGTTCTTTTAATTACCACTAAAACATTTATTGCTCCTCAAATAGTTTATGAAAGAAATTAATGAACAGCTAAATTTTACCTGAACTGTTATTTATTTTAAAACCAGTGTGCGAGATCTTATTTAAATAAAGAAATTTTAATTTTCAAAATAATCAAACAAAATTAACGACTATTAATATTTTAGAATTTAAAATTCTGCAAGTATGTTATATGTTTGAGGTTTTCTTTTTTAAAATAGAATACAGGGTAGCATTAAAGCGAAAGAGGCAATTTATTCAATTCAAAATCCAAATGTTTTTTCGCTAAATTGTAATCAACACCTTGAAATATATAATAAAGATAATATTACGGCACGAGATCAAAGTTTAATTTTTTAAGGAAAAATATCTTTAGGTTGAAAGACTCTAGTGTGAAAATGGTTTCAAATCATTATAAAAAAAAAAATTAAAAGAAAGAGTCCATCCTAGACATCATCAGACCTGAGGGCATGGTCGCTAATGGTACTCTCTTCTTTGATTTTCTTAACAAAAATAATAATTCGATCATTGTTTATTCCAAAATTGAGGATAACTGATGATGATAAGTGTTATTAGATAAGGATAACAGAGTACGTAATAAAAACAAGAACGACAACTTTGTTACAACCATGAAATATATTGAAACAGATTTACTTCTCCTCGATAAGAAAATGCAAAATCAGGAGATTTTTTGTCCAGGAAAATTAAATTTTCTGAATACATACTCCATACAAGCATACAATGTGATGGGTATATATGTTGTCTCAACTATTTTATATCTGGAGGGGAAACAACAAAAGAAAGGAACATAAAGCAATGAAGATTGCAGGTTGTAATAAGGTGGTCTTCGATCAGTTTATTATCTGAGATCGCCGTTAAAATCATTTTCCATGAACATATTTTTAATTCAGACCACATTCTGTTTAGTAAAGGGTGTATTTGGTTTAGTTTTTTTTTTTTCTTAAACTGGTTTAACAGATTTTATATGTTCTAAGATACCTATTTTTGAATTCAACAAGTAAAATTCAATAGTTTAAAAACTATGGTATATTTATTAATTAATATGAAAAAATGTCAAACATCGGAAAGATTGCATCTGCAGATAATGTTATTGCAGAGAGCATTAGATTTTTGCGTATTGAATAAAGTAGACAACATAAACAGAATATGCAAATAAAAGGTATATAAGGTAAATTATTGACAAAACAATTTATCAATTATCATTTGACAAAACAAATTATTGATGAAACAAGAATATCAGCAGCCTCGTTTAAAGTCATAATTTCGCAATTTCTTTGGTCGATACAATGACCTTGTCAGCAAATACAATTTATTATTGAGTCAAATTCTGACTGACGTTTTTCATACTAATTGTTAGTCCATTATTTGTACTCTGAATTGACGACGGATTTTTCAGTTATTTCCCGATCATGACAAGGAGCACATGGCGGGTGTGACCGGTCAGCAGGGGATGCTCACTCCTCCATGCCACCTCATCCTACCTCTGATGTTTAAGGGTCCGTGTTTGCTCTGCTCCTATTTTTGTATTGTTTTATGGACTTTGATATTGAATACTGTTCGTTATCTCCATATCCTTCATGCAAATGATGATATAGTGTTGGATAAATAAGGAAACTTGTCAATATTAACACAAAATACAAATGAAAAAATATTGTTAGATAAATAAGGAAACTTGACGATAGGAAAGGTGAAGTCATCTTTTATTAAAGAGTTAAGTCGTCAGTTTGCTACATATTGTCTTGGGAAAATCTAAAAAAAAAAAAATCTGAAGAAGAATAAGAAGAATACAAAACAGATCTGCTAGTCAGGAGATGCAATTAACATTCTAATAGATTTCTAGATGAACTGATCTTCAGTGATTAAAAAGATATTCGAAAACTTTGACACGTGAAAACACTTGCTATTGGCTTCAACTACCATTCAGATATCGACGATGTCTTGTGAATTAACAATACTTGTTTCCAAGGTCATATATCAACTCGATTTCCCAGTGTATTTAAAATAAGAGACAACACAATCTGGCACATTTATTTCATTTTTAGGTGTTTAAGTGTTTAATTGATTATAGTAGATCAAATATATGGAGGTAGCGAACAGTATTGAAGCTGAAAAGTTAATTCAAACAATTTCAAATTAGGAGCAGAGCAAACACGGATCTCTAGAGCATCAGAGGTGGGATCAGGTGCGAGGGAGGAATGAGCATCTGCCGATCGGTCACACCCGTTGTGTGCTCCTTGTTATGATCAAAAAATAACTGAAAATCTGTCGACATTTTGATATATAAATAATAGTCGTACAATATGTGTGAAAACGTTTGTCAGCATTTGACTTAATGATGGATTGTATTTGCTTACAATGCCATTGTATCAACCGTAATACTTGCGAAATGATGACTTTTAAACAATACCGTTTGATATTCTTGTTTCATCAACTTGTATGTTCATAAATAACCTCGTTTAAGAAACTGTTCATACGTAGAGCATGCCCTACTGAGAGATATAAACCCAACATGCTAGTTATAAGGGTATATTGCTAGGTAGGTAAGGGATAAAAGTTTGAACGGACTTTTGAGCTTCCATACTGATCGCTACCTCCACATATTTCATCTATAGTCAGTTAAACTCTGACGACTAGATTATATAACGAACGAGTTGCCTTCAGCTTGCCATCGTATACTTTCCTTATTTATGTGGAAATTTTCTGCTTCCGCATGCATATGGTGTTTAAGTTTCCCAACCTATTGGATTGTATGTTGCTTTACAATTACATGTAAGTTATTTGATACTCAGGAACATGCTCTTAATACTATCGATATTCAATAGCATATCGTATTGTATTGTGTGGTACAACATACTGAAAAAGAAGAGATTTTAAGTCAGGAAAAGAGGCTGTACATAAGTAAGCTAACATGCACAGATCAATGAAGTCTTGGATAAACAACACTAAGTGTAGAAAAATGGGATTTCATTCTTTACAATACAAGCTCTTTCCCACGGTTGAAATCTCTTTAATTTTTCAATATTTTATCCCTTGTGAATCCAAAAAAGACAGTGGAAAAGTCTAGTGTTTAAAATCTTTTGATTGTGAACATCTACAACATATTTTTTTTTCAAAAGTACGCATTTTTGTTTTTAGCATAAGCAATCCATCAAAGGTACTAGTATACAGAAAAACGGTAAGTTATTCAGGATTGAAAGTAAAAAGGTAAAATGTGATGGGAGTGTCCGTTACGTTTAATTGGGAGATCCCATGTTTAGTCCGCATTTCCTCCTTCACCACTTAATAATATAAACAAGACTTTAATAGAATCTGTACAGCATAGTGTCATTATGCATCTCTCCTTTCTCTTAGATCAAATTGATCAGTTTCCCATAGGCAACATGGACATTGGGTTTTGGTGCTCATTACCTATTTGTTACACCTCCTTTACCAATGAATAAAATTTTGAGACTTTCATAAAGTCGTTTACATTGTGTCATTGGGGACCTTCTACTTTTGGTTCTAATCGGATAGATATTTAGAGTTTTCAAAAGCAAAGAATGCCTGGACTATGCAACTATACTCACATGGGAGCAGGTGTGATCATAACCCAAAATACTCAAGCAATGTTAGTCAAAATTAACACGGTATCCAAAAATGAGGAAAATTTTAAATGGATGAGTAAAAAAAAAATCCATGATTTATAGATCTATAAATCAACACAACTCTGACGAATTTTTGTCAATTTATTGCATAGATAACAAAACAGTTTATCACAGACTGGGTAAATGACGTAAAAATTCTAGATAGCTATTATATGGGTGTTTGGTTTGACTTTAAAATATGAAAGAAAATGATTTTCATGGTACATTCATGTGTAATTGCATATATCAATTAAAGGCTTTTTATGGTAAATGCAGTAACCAGCTAAGCTTAATGGACGTATCGATCATAATAAAGTGAGTATACTAAAATTATGAAAGATGCATGCATTTAACAAAGAAAGATCTAGAAGGCAAAACAGGTGATGCATAACCAATGATCAAACAATGATTGTATACAAAAATATTACGAAAAATTTCATTTCTAACAGATAGCTGCATCATTAATAGATATTTTATTCGCAATGACAGGGCATTGTTTTCAAGGAAGCAATGCTTCTTGAAAGTTGCTTAATAGAAAATATTAATTATATATACATGTATCGTACCTCCAAGGCTGTTTTAAACACTTTTCATAAACATCTATCCAGCTACTATAGATGCCCTGTCCTTGGTCACAAAGATATGGGTAAATGATTTTGAAAAACTATATCACAATATCATTCATCACAGACAGCATAAAAGTTGTATAAAAATATATCACGGGATGCCATTTATGTAAAATTAACATATCTACAGCAAAATCTCTACATTTTCAAATTCCATTTTGGAATTTTTAAACAAAAGGGATTACGTTTAGAATGATCAACAAAAAAAGATTTTTGCAAATTAAATAAATGCATACATAGTGGATGAACATAACTTTAATTATCCTACTGTACATAGATACATAGAGGGATATAATAATAAGTAAATAATAATCAATTTGGCACGAGAGATGTATGTTGAATGACGTAGTCAGTTATGGCGGTATTAGTCATCAACTTTAGAGTTCCGTCTCCTTCACTGGATCCATCAACTGCATGACGAGATCAAAGGAAGTCGGAGGTGTTTCATTCAGCCAACATTTGTTCACGATATCCAAGATCTACAACAAATAATGAAACACTCTGTGAAAAAATCGCATAATTTGAATAGGTAAATCTGTTTCGTGCAATAAAATAATCCCTTTAGATGGAAAATAAACGTATACATTTATCTTATAAGAGCTGATATTTTACTATATTTCATCTTTAATGTAGACTACTATAGTTTGTATAAGGATTCTCGGACAAAAGGATTTCATTTTACAGTTTAAAACAATAGTATTGATAAAATTAGCAATATGAACAAATGTTTTAAAACCAAAGAAAAATTATCAGAGTAAACATTTCGGTGATATTTCTTCGCCGTAAATCGCAATGTTTTAATTCATTTTTTTCAAAATCACCAGCTCAATCCAGTAATAGTGCTAAACTTTATGTACAGATATTATATCATATAGAAGAATACTCTTAAACTAACTGGCATAGATGAATGGATTTAACAAAAAAATATTTACAGGATACTAGGTATTAAAAAAATATATATATTTCTTGTAGTTCAACATACGATTTATTTCACAAGCTTAAGAAAGTCTGGTTTTTTAAGTTACACATGTGCGAAGCACCAGCAAATATTCTTTTAAAAAATCCTGTCTCACACAAGTGAAATAAATTCCACAATCAACTACATAATATTGACATATCAATAAATTTAGAAAGTACCTGACTTCCGACATCTCCAAGCTGGCCTGCTTGTCGGAGCTTCATTTTCATCATATTAAACCCTTCCTCGGTTGCTGGTAACAAATCATTGAAAGACACAAGGTGGAGTGCTGATGTCAATTTTTGGCAGTTTGTGACATGTTTGTCTGACATTCCCATTTTTAAAGGTACGTCAATTTGGATTCTTCCTTTTTCTTCTCTGTTTTCATTTGTTGATGGAACCTCAAACATTTGATCATTTTCGTTAAAATAGGGTTTAGTCTTCCCAACATTTGCAAGAAGTGGAGAATCAAAATCGGGATCCAAAATGGGAGGGTGAGTTCTTTGATGTTCTGGTGTTTGTTTATGAGAGTATACTCTATCGATATAGAGTTCAGCATCTACCACCACTGCGGGTTGATTTTGCATTACATGATTGGGTGAAACCTGATTTGAATTACTAGAATTTCCATTTTGGAAACTTACTGTTTCAGAATCTTCACTTTGTGGTTGATTGAACATAGTGACGTCATTTTCAGACATATTTGTAAATGATTCGTTCAGAATATTATTGTTAGTAGCGTGGGTTGGAGACAGGTGATTTCCTCTAGGTGATTTATGTATTGGAGAATCATGAGCATCTTCTGGACTTTCTCTAATGATTTCTTCTAAACCAATCTGTGATTGCTGACCTGAAGATTTGTTTTTCTTCCCATGATCTTTCCTCGACTTCCTATTCAGGGAACCATATGTTCGACCTGGTATTAATTTTTTCTCCTTTTCACTTTGGAAAAACCCCTGTGAATCTAAATTCATGAACAAGTTTTCATCAGATGGCTCAGTTCGTACATCCAAATGTTCATCTTCAACTTCTCTTTGTTTTGAGGTAATTTCAGTTGCAGATACTTCAGACACCCTCAGTGGAACTCCTTTCTTTACAAGTTCTCTGTAGCGTTTCGTAGCATCTGCAACATGACTACTTGCCATTACATTTGGTCCTCTTACTTCTTTTGAAAGTCCTGGTGTTTTAGGACGAGTAGATGCAGGCGTTTTAGGACGAACCATGTGAGATGAATCGAAACTTTGATTCACAGAGACCTTCTTAGCATGTGATGAGCTGAAATTTTCTATTTCCCCGTCAATATCTATTTCTTTTGTTTGTTCTGGCGACGCTGATGAAACTTCTATTATTCTTGAAAGGCTTGATGTTGGTCGGAATTCATCCTCGCCTTCTGGTATCATGTCATTATCAGGAAGACATTCAATCTCAAGATCTGGTGAGTCAGCTACTCTTTGATTTTCCACTTCAAGAGAATTTATACCAGTGAGACAGAAAGTTTTCTCTTGCAAATGTGATGATGGAGTATTATATAAATTCGAGGAAATAATTCCAGTATTAATTTTCATACGATCTTGTTTCCTGGATTTTGATCGTCTGTCTTTTGTTTCATGGAAAGCTGAATCATCAGAAAAATAACTGCTCTGAGGACCATGGGATGAAATCTCACTGCTTTCACTATCAAAGCCACTATCAACATTTTTACGTAACCGACTTTGCAAGACCTTCTTCATATAAACTTCCTTTGCAGGAGCATCGACATCAGTAGCAAAATCGTCAGTGTCGGCATCAGCCTGAGATGACAAAGACGTAAGTTCACCACTGGTGAGGGATACATCTGCATGTCGAGCCCTTGTGGAACCTCTGCTGCTATAACTGTCCGTGCTGCTGAAGCTTGAAAACCTATTCAGATTCGTCTTTGATAGTTTGTCTGTCAAAAATCTTTTCTCTGTTGTTTCTTTTCTTGGAGCTTGTATGTAATGTTGTTTTGGTTGTGATTCTTCTGTTTGGTCAATTTCATCCTGTTGATAAGATTTATTGACTTCTGATACTTTAAAGTCTTCTACGTTCACCCGAGAATCCTTGTTAGTTTGTACAATAAGCTTCTTTACGTTTGCAAATTTCACATCAAGTTTTTCATTCTTGCTATTTGTCCTTTGAAAATTGAAATCTCTGGATTTACCGCTTAGGGCTCTTTTTAGAGCATTTCTTGCTTTCGACCTTTTATGTTCACTTTCTTCTTTTTCCAGGTTTTCTTTATTGATTTCCTCTTCTGTTGGAGGTTGGGGAGCCGGATACTTTTTTACTGACTTTGATCGTTCTTTCTTTTTTGTATTTTTCTTCTCTTGCTTGGCAGGTTTTTCCTTTTGTGGTTCGTCAATAGAACGAATTTTTATCTTATTTGTTTTATGATCTCGAATCATTTTATGTGGATTTCCTTTCGTAAGTGTTTCTTCTTCGTCAGTTGCTTCGGTTGCCTCGACGATTTCCTGAAGTCCAGAGCTTGTTCGATGTAAAACCTGCGTTCCTGAAAAAGTTCGATGCACAGGTGTACTTAATATCTGCGATCCTGATGATGTTCTGTGAAGAGAGCGAATTGGTTGTAATTTCTTAACATATGTGCCTTGCAGTTCATCATAATAATCTACAAGTTCAAAACGCTGAGTACCAGGTCCATCAAACTGCCAATACGTCTTTGGTCTAGATCCAATTCTGTCCCTTGCATTCATGATCTCGCTTAATCTGGGTCGATGCTTATGGGAATCTAAGGAATCCGCCATTCCAGGAAGACAGTCTATAATATGGTCCAACTCATCTCTTTCCACATCAATAGCTTCAAGTGGGAGTGGTAAATTAGACCAAAGGGAAGCTCTAGAGTCAGCAGATACCGTATTCTTTAATCCATGCGGACGATATTCCATATCACTTCGAATACTCCACTGATCACTCTTTTGTGAGACAGTTCGATGTAGAGAATTTTCTGATTGAAACGACTGAATTGAATTTTTAGAGTCCTGTCTCATTTTCTTATTCAGTCTGTACCTATCAAAGGGAATTTCCATCTCTTCTTCGGATATTTCTTCTGCAGAGGAATCTGCTTTGTCGTTTGGTTTAAATGCTGATACTGTAGTTTCAGAACCAGTGAGATTTTTAATAATAGACACGGGTTTTGATAAAAGTCTTTTACTATTTGACTTTTTTATATCCTTGCTTTTTGTTTCAAAAGCCTGTCCATCGAGAGATTTGGAGTGAGACTTTTTACCTTTTCCTTTTTTCTTATCAAGAGGAGAATCGGTTCTCTCTGGTACAAGTTCTTGTACTGCAGATCTCTTGTGAAACACTTCAGATCGAGCACTCATTTGATGCTGTACCATCTCAACCTCTGGTGTTCCACTCCTTCCATTGTATAGTGTACTGGCTGACTGCACTGACGGAGACCTGTGAGCCATTCTCTGTTGATCTGGAGAAACAGTTCTTGACCTTGTGCTTCGTTTTGACTGAGCAGACATGGGCCGACTTTCAGGAGATAAACTTCTGCTTCGTCTTCTAACTTCTTCAATCAATTCATATGGGGATCTTATGCCATTATGATTTCTCCTTGCATAATGTTCTACATCTGAATCATCGGAGGGGTTATTCATGAGGTCAACATTTTGAGGATAAGGTTCACGAGTAATATGTGGCATCACAACAAAATGTCCGTTTCCGTTGATCAAATCCTTAGGATCTTGGTCATAGTCCCAATCATATTGCATACTTAAGAATCGTCTTTCACACGATTTCGTCACTATCTCTAACGCCACTAAAGCAAACGACCTTATATCTGGAAGAAAGAATTGTCTTTTGCTGGTCACTGCAGTTTCTGGTTGCTGAATTGATCCATAAATTTGTGTACATTCAAAATCCCCAATGGCTGCTCTCATAACCATATTCTGAAATAAAAGTAACATCATCTTGAATACACCTGTACTTACTTGATTTATTTAAATTCTATTAAAATTCAATATACGCATAAATGCATAAGAAATATTATGGTGTTAAAAGTATGAAAATTTTGGTCATTAAAAGTATTAAGGAAAAGGTAAATGCGTAAAATAAAAAAGAAAAGAATTCCACGAAAATTAATAATGAGTACAGATAATCAGAAAGAGTATTTCAATGTAGCATAAGACTATTAACCTGGATAAAACTGATAAAAAGGGTAATAAATACGTTGACAAATGTCATTCTTTCATAACATTCAAGATATATAATACTAGCAAAAGTAAAAAAAAAATAATTTGCCAGATGACATACATGAAAGCATCCTAAATATATGCTAGATTTTTAATAATTAGTATGTGGCGCTAGTATATGTTTAAATAAGAGAAAGTAAGGGTAATTCTCTGGATTAGACTCCTACCCTATACATTGGCCTGGCATACTCTGTCTCCTGACGAAGGTTAGAAAGGATAATATAAGTATTTGATGGTGATTAACATTTCCTATCTATATTCATGCAAGAAATTAAAACTATTTCGTAGAACCACAAATGTTTGACTTTGGTAAATCTGGTCACATCCCAAAATGTTGAGTCCTCCTTATAAAAGATACGACTCGAAAACGTTATTGTTTAATGAGAGAGAATTACAGTGAGTAAATTGGAAAGAAAGAAAATAAAATTATCGATTTCAGTTCGCCTTTGAGTCATTTAACAGAATTGTCAATGTCATACATTACTTCAGGGTATGTTGCTTTAATTTTACCTAAGCTGAACTTGCACCACTAAATACCTGACCGGTTAATTTTAATCATGCAATTATAATTTTTAACATTTTCATTGTATTTTGTTAATTCACTACATGCAATATTCATTTCGTGAAAGAAAACCTTTACGATATCACTTGTAGAGTATAAGTTTGCTAAAGATTTCTACAATAAGAATAACACCTTTTCAATTCTAGGAGGAGAAAACGTAACATAGTGCCATGATAATTTAATATTCTGTTGTTTGAATGAATGAAACTTTAGTTCACATTAGCACATCAAATGCTTCTACATATGTGTCGTGCTATCAAACAGCTGATTCTGCTTTTGAAATGATCTCACTTTTTATAATATACAAGGTTTCAGTTCTCAAAGTTAAAAAAATAAAATACTTGAATAACAAGACATTACATATATTTCTGACAATGTATAAAATAAATGCCTATATGCAATAGGTAAACACAATAAACTAAAAAAAAATGAAGATACGAAACTTACCGGAAGTGATCCTTTGAGGTAGATACAGGAAGAGCTTAGATTATTATGGAGGATATTTTGACTGTGGAGGTAGAACAGACCCTCGGCAATATCGTGGACGACCATCCTCTGACATGTTTCCGGAAGAGATACGTCCTTCTGCAGCACTTCCGCTAAGCTTCCATTGTTTGTCAGCTCAAGGCAGATAATTCTGTGAAAAAAGTGATTCAGACTTGTTGATAGAAAAATGAAAAATGTCTAAATTCTGCTCTAATATTGTCAATAAAAAAAGGCATTTTTTCAGGTAAAATTTCTTACTTAACCGAGTGATAAAATACTACGAATAATAAGAATGCTCAAACTTTCACAATATATAGTGGTTTAAAATATTTTTGTAGGTAAATTGTGAATAGGATATATGTTCAATTATACATTACTGTACATCATGTACAGTAAAGAATGGACTCTACATTATCAAGATTTATACATCTGGAAAGTTTTCTTTTAAATGCCATTATTTAGCGTTACTGCATAATTATTTATTCATTGGTCTCGTTTTTAAACACGGAGGCCTAATTGCTTTTCCAGTTTACGAAAAACTCAAACAGAATGATGCAATCACATATAATATACTTTATTTAATTTGAATGATAATTGTCCTCCAAACATTCTAATCAATAAAAATGATCGAAACAATCAAAATATAATGAAGACATTTGAATTCGATCAATTGAAACTGGATTTCTGAAGAAAAATCAATAGCACATAGTTTGAACAATTAATGCTTTGTAAGCATAACTTTCCACCATGTTAAAAGACAACTGGTTGGTTTTTAACATATACTTGCCTGTATAAATAATACCATAAGCTGGCATGGGTCTTTTATATAAAGGGAAAGAACAAATGAGTACCTAGAGTCACTAGTGATTATCTCCCCTGTAATCAGGGTCATTGTCTCGTAGTAAGGGTTGGAACTGCTGGTCCACAGACACTGCAGGAGACTCGGGTGTTGTGCCTTCCTGAGCATGCCCAGAACCACAATTTCCTGTGCCCAAGCTTTGACGTGATTCGAGCCATAGACCTTCATCAGGCCCCGTTTGACCAATCCTCGGGACACGCTCCATGTTGCTCTCAGTCGTAACCTTCCAGGTTCCTGTAAAGTGTTTGAATAGAATTCCGGTTGATTCTACATTTATCTTTTTCATAAAAGCAGATTTAGAATTAGAATATAAAAATTAGATTTTACAAATAAAAAGAAATCGATAAACAATTTGCAACAGGAAAATGAATTTTTTATTGTCGTTTTTAACGACATGTCTGTGTGCTTTGGTCTATAAAAAAGGAGGGACGTTTGACAAAAGTACAAATATCATTGCAGTTTTCTAGGATATCGAGAGCTACAAGCACTTGTTTCCTAACTAAACAATGATTCAAAAGGCACACGATGAAGTTTAACAACTGCGGTCCTTGGTGATTTATTTGACTTCTGTTTAGTTTCTAGTCCTCCATGTTAAAAGAGCGTCGTGTTTGACAGAAATTTCCCATTTTGTTTTCAAAAACACTCGATGGTTTCTCAGCATTAAAAAAATATTAACCACCAAGGTAAATATTCGCCAAGACTTAAACGTGGTTAAGAAAAAAGTCCGCTATAAATTCTTTCACGTGGTTAAGAAAAAAAGTTCGCTAAAATATTTCATTTAACATAAAAATATCATCTTTTTTAATTGATAAAACGTATCATTTTAATTGCTCGAGGAGGGCTTTCGTAAAGTTAATGCTCTTAGAAAGGCTGTGGCCGTTGACTCAAATTTTACACTAAAGCATTCTTTGTGTTAAATTTACTTAATGGATACAAGATCAAGGATGGGAATTAAGTCATTTTGCTCTTAAACGAATGTCCTACTGACTTAAACCCACTCAGCACAAGTAGTTGTCTATTTCAGCTGAAATAGATCTAATACAAAATAAAGTAAAACGTTGACTCGATATAAAATGGAAAATGATTTTTTGAAGAACAATTCTACTAAAATCATTCTCAGTTTTTTATTGAGTCAACAGGAATATTTTTTTTTACTTTGTGTTTTTATTATTCCATCTGAGATAGGCAACTAGTTTTGCTGAGTGAGTTAAGTCAATGGGACTTCGTGTACGAGCAAATTGACTTCAGTTATTATTAGCAAACTTTTGCGAGTGTGAAGGCAGCATTTTTAAAGGGGGTGTTATCCTTTGAAAAAAAAAATTAAATGACTTTATTCCATATATGCAAATTAAATCATTTTTATCTAAATTTCACTTCTTCTTAATAATTACTTTTGCTTGCGCCGACTATGGTTCATAAAAAAGATTTTATTATGGTATAAATCTTGACTCTTTAAAAATTCTGTTTGTGAAAGGTATTTTCTATTCCACGTTTTCAATGATAAATGGGCCTCTAATCTAAAGAGGTCTTTTTCTATCAAATCCGAAGGTTTAAATGGATTAGTCTTGTGTGGATAATTGTAAAAAATGTTGATTTTTAAATAAAGTCGATAACGTAGGATATCAGAAGCAAAATATGACATAAAACATGCCGTGGTTTTTGATTAATGGTCCCTCCACTGACACCTTTCTATAATTGATGGAATAATTTGTATTCTTTGAAGAATTTTTACCTGCCACTTTTTCTATAAAAACCTTTACAATTTTTGACATTTCTACAACTTTTTCCCCCTCGAGAACTTTAATAGAAACTCCCTCTCACAACTCCTTTTATAACACAAATCTATCCATGGGGTATATAAAAACCGCAAAAACATGCAAAATCACATTACCTGATTTTGATGTTAGATAACTATAAGAGACATATACATATCAACTGGTATAGAATTATATTCCATCCAATGTTAATAGCTCTCAAGGCTGCCCATTTTTTGATAAATATCAATGGTTATAAATTTTCAATACACGATCAAACTTTCTGAACTTTAGGCTTTTAAAAACATAGTTAAGAGATTTAGACCAACTGAAAGCTATTCTTTAAATGCTTTGAAAACCACGATCATTTAAGCTAATGAAGAGTTATAGAACATGCAAGTACCACGAAAAACCCTTTCATACCTATAGGTGTAGATATAATTATGTATATATCAGATATCTTTACCGCTCGAATTCGTCGAATTAAATTTGACAAAAGCGTTCTAAGTGTTTCTACTCTAGACATGAAACAAGGTTAAATCAAACAAGATTTCCTTCACAAAATTCAATTTAAATAGATAAAAGATTATTTTTGTTCACATGAGTAGGTCTCTAATGTTGACATTGAGTTGAGAATTGAAATTCGAAAATGTCTTCAATTGTGTGGTAACTGATGGTACCCTCTGATTGTGTATCTTGTAAAGAAATCTAATACTCTAAAGCGTACCGTATATTTGTTGAAAGTACTAAAAATTAGTTTTAATTTACCTATTTTGCTTAAAAGTAGAAAGAAAATATAAAAATTAATAATGATCATCTGTAGCTTAATCTCAACTATCAAAACACCTAAGTTTTAATACAGTTTTATCATTTTATAACGTTCTTTATTCAGTAACAAAACCCATTTCTACCAATACTCATCAAACTATCTTTGAATTCAATTAATTTTTATTTTGATATACTAAAAAGTATGTTTACTCGTAACGGTTATAAAGTCCTTATAAGTTGACAGTTCTAACGACAAACTTCTCAAATGGTTCCAGTTGTTTATAGATATCTCCAGCGTGACTATGCATAAAGAGTTTACATTTGGAGCTATATACAAGGGCTTCTTAATTTGAATTTTCAATATTTGAAAACACTACAATGAATACTCCTCTTAAGTTTACTTATTGGGTTTTTTCTTTATCATTTCCTTGATGGTTATTTTAAGACACAATGAGTTTCGTATATTGCATTAAATAATTCACTTGTATTAGCAATTAAAAAGAACAGCTAAATACTTTTTTTTAAAATCAAATATTGATTTAAAACGAAATTTATATAAAATATTATTGGCAGTGGGATCTTTTAATTTCCTTTTCTTCTTTTTTTTTTACGTCAGTGCACGCGCATATGTTCGAACATTACATTTACATCTTCTTTGATTGGAGTTATTTTTTTAAATTCCACTCGGAACCCTTGCTTCGATAAGACTTGTACTATAATCATCTCCATCAACAAAATCTTTTTAAAATTATCTTTTACTTGAAAAAAAAATCGAATTTATCTTGTTATATTCTCACCTCTACTTTGATGAGCTCGAGCCGCTTGAGTTTATGATGTGGCTCCTCCACATCGCGAGTTGATCCACAACAGCATAAACTCCACATGCTATTCCCAACCTGGGAACACACACCGTGAAAGATTGTAACGAGGCTTAACGACAACAATACTATCCAAGTCGCCGAGGAAAGATGTCCGGTATCGTAGTAAGTCACAAAATTACACAGAAACAATACGATGATCCATACAGTAAGTTCGCACAACAAGATCTTTTGGAATCTCTTTCCTTCGATCACCAACTGGGATTGCCACACATTAACGGTGGAAGAGTGGATTCTGTTGCTGAATCCTTTCCATAGCTTAACAGCACTAATGACACATGTGAAGAAAGCAATGAGGAGAGAAAACCAAAGTACCACGAAATTCACAACACCTAGTGTTCCACCATCTTCGTTGGGTTGGCTGATTCGCACACATGAAATAGCAAAATGACTTGTAGATGGGCTGTATCCTAAAGGTGTTAAAGGCAATGCAGATAGAAACACCGAAATAATTTTTTCAGGAATGGTGATGACAAGGAAGACATTTCTATGAAACGTAGAAATTTGCGAAGCTTTTCCCGGGTTGTATATCCCAAATAAAATTATCCCTGCTGTGAGAAACCCGCAAACACAGTCAAACACGCCAAACACGAGCAGAAACCCAGAGGCACTACACACTGGCTCCGATCCAGAAAGTTTAAATGAAATTGAAAGAATCAACCCTACACCTAAAAAAACATGCCCGAGATCGATAGATAGGTAGGCATACTTCCAAAGCTTAGGCAGAGAGAACTGCTTTTTCTGTTTATAAAATATTGACACAAGATTATTTATAAGACCCAACACAGAACAAACAAGGACAATAAATGCTAATGGTGTGTTATGCGTATCACCCATCATGCACCTGCCCACCAAAGTTTAAAGGGCTAATCAAGTATAGATTGGTGTAAGATTTCATATCTTGATTTTTCGTGTATTTTGGAATATTGATACACAATTAATTTGACTTGTCGATCATTCTTCTGCTGCTAGCACCTCGAAATAGCTCCATTTCTTTATGCAAATTAAGTTCTTTCTTATGTGTTTGGCTTTTAAATGGGGTTGTATTCGCTCTCTTTCATTTGATACGACTCCGAATTCAATAGATGTCAATACTATCCATCTACCTGTAAAACATATTATAGAGATAAATAAGCATTTCATGACATTAAACTCCCTAATCACGACCTGAATTAATGCTGTATTCAGTCCCACCAGGAGGGGATTTTTAAAAGCTTTCACAACTTCGGAATAAAATCATTTAATTCATTGAGAAAATGTTCTGCATTCAAACTCATACACAGTACGGATCAATGGAACGAAATTGCATGGAGATTAACATATACGACATGACAAGTCAGCCAACTTTAGTTTTCATCCTACATGTATACAATGCTACAATTCGCTGAAGCAGCATTACTGTCCTTGTGGGAAACATCCTAGAATTATTGATTTATCAATAAAATACATTATTCAGTAAATGGTCTTCACTACGTAGGCATTTATCTTCTTTCAATTTTTAATATTAGCAAAATTATATTTAGTTTTAATGCTTAGAAATCCGAATCAGAGTATGCAAGGTTGGTGTCTGAGAATCTCGATTCTAGAAGTTATGTGAGGTTTTTGTATACGATTTTTTCTTTGATAATCTTAATTAATTGCAACTACTTTTAATGTATAGCATCGAAGAGAACACAAACTCTAGATTTCGTTGTCCCTGCACCCCGAAACTTTGGAGGGGCTAAAACCATCAACATTAATTAATTCAATCTAAAAAAATCTTTTCCTTTACTCATGGAAATCAAGCAGTTAAACTGTTAGAATAACTATATGTAATAAGAATTGAGCTTTCTACCAAATATGTAAAACCCATGACCCTTGGGCTACAGGTTCTGGTGTTATGTGGAAATGTATTGGTCGTATCGTGAAAAAGCATACATTCCTTAAAAATCTTTTCCTCTTCATGAATATTTAGCAAATAAATTTTATTATTTAAAAAATCGTCTTATTTAGTTGAGAGTTGAGTAGTATTTTATTGAACATACAGTGAAAAATGAATTAATTTTTTGAATAAAATTAAATTATGTACACCTGTGTATCTATTAGATAAAATAAGTGCACTATTGTGCAGAACAAGAATGCTTCCTCAAAAATAGTGAAATGTGCATGATGTCTCTTTCAGAATGGTGAATATCATGGCCCAGGAGAGAGGAGTTCCAGTGTAAAGATTGGGTACTATTTTAATTTTACTATTATTGTATAGGAATATTAACTCTGCTTTTAAGAGAAAATATTCTTTTTTGACATAATACTGTAAGTTATTGGTAAGTTAAATGAAAGAATTGGTCATTTTAATACCGTATAGGTGAAAAATTTAGCGAGAGGCATTTTTTTAAAAACTTGGTATTCTCTTTTTAGGGAGCATATAAACTATTTTAAAAGCTCAATAAAGAAGCAATTACAAAAAAAAAAAATGGAAATTCAATTAATTCATTATGCAAAATAAAATTAAAAATTAATTTTAGATCCAAAATTTCTAACCTTAAATATCAATTGTTTGTAAAATATCCTGATATCGTTTTAAAGCATTTTAGAGTAGAAAGGGATTTACCAAGAGAAATTTTCAAAAGTTTTATTACCTAAGCAGAAATTAATTATTATGCCTATGGAAGGAAGTAAGTTTTTTAAGGTAAAAAAATTACTTCAAATATCAAAAAATGCTGTGGTGGAAAGATGTATTTGATATGATTAAAAAATTAGAAATTATTTTTTTACCAGACAGATTTTTTTTAAAATTAATATTTATTAAGTATAATCAAAGAGAGATAACTCGTCAAGGGCAGGAAAAGGTCATTAATTAGGACATGTCCCAATCTTACATTCTTATACTATAAGATGAAAACGGTATATGATTAAAAAGTATTTTATAGTAGTTCATAGAAAGAATTTTATGGGGAAAGAGAAGTTTTAAGTTTATTTAAAATACATAGTAAAGCATACGACGTCATCATTATCTAAAAAGAAATTTAGCAAGACGGTATTTCTTTATTCAATTTTCAAAATGGCATTCATTAAACCGTAAAAATGACGCCAGAATGCACGATGCAAGCAATAAAAAATACTTTATACATTTAGTTTAAAAGCTGGAATAATTGCCCTATTTATGAATTATAAATATTGTCTAGTATCCCAATTCTCTGATTAATCATTGAATGGGTTAAAAATCATATAGAGCTAAATGAAATGGAAAAAAATGAGGATAGTTTTTAAGAACAAAGATTTCCCCAAAGCATTCTCTATTTCGATTTTTTTTCGCATTCACTTTACTTCTGATTTTAAAATTTTTCAAATATTTTATTACTTGCATCTTTGTACAGGTGAAAAAAGAATTAATCTAGATGTATTATACTTATAATGTCATAAAATAGCATGGTTAATACAAAATGCTTTCTGGGTAAAATTACAAATATTTCTAAAAGCAGAATCATCTATATCTCGCATGGTTTTGGCCTCTTACCCCTATAATCTAACGACCTAACATTCTTTGAAATTCTTATCTAAAAATCGAAAGATTCCAGAGAGAAATCAAACATTCTTTTTCAAAAAATTACTGACAGCACAAATCTCCAAGTAAACATTGTGGACTCTACAATGCTATTTGTCCAATGATAGCGGATTTAACGGGTGTTTAATAAAAAAAACAGCGAGTTCAAGGGGTCTCCTTGTAGAACACATTTATCTGAATTTTTATACGACTTTATAAACTCTTATCTCTTTGACGTGTGTAATCAATATTACTGGACAACAAACTCACGTCACCACCTGCGCGGTGTGAACTTCAGATCTAAAATTAAGCTCTGATCATTGATTATATTCATTAAGCGTAAAGAAATTGCAATATTATTATTATACCCCCCGCTTGAAAAGCGGGAGGGTATATAGAAATTGCAGCTGTATGTTACTCCTTTTTGAAATTTAATGTAGAATCTTTATTACATATTATTGTGCACCTCCTATTTTATTTTTTGATCCGACAAATATTTTGGGTTTAACGGCCACCGCAAAACATGGACTTTGCCATTATAATCATATGTCATTGAATAAAATTTTATTGTTAAACCGAATGAAATTTTATTGCTAAAAGATACCATAAAATAAGTAATCATATAACCTTTCATTTATGCTTCATTGATATTCATTATTTTGAAAGGAAACGACACATTTTTCTTTTCTATACATTTATGAATTTAAAGTCTCTTTCAGTCTAATGAAAACCTATAAACTGGAAAGATTCAAAAATCATTTAAATGATGCAAAATATTTTTTTCTTCAAAGGGTTAAAATAATTTAACCCCCTTGAAAGTAGACAAATGAAAAGAATTCAAAGGCAAGGTATAATTTTTGCTGAAGCATAAATAAGGGGTAAAAGGATTAAATCTTGTAACTACATTGCTAACGGTCGCTGCTAGTATACATATGCATATATCACTCTAAAAAAAGTTTTACTTGTTGTTTTTAAAATAAGATATTATATTAAGAAAAACTAGTAATTATTAGTAATCCATTTAGTCAGAATAGCAAGTAAATGACTATCATGGTTAGTAATTGTAAACATAATTAGTAACTAGTGCTAATTGTAACGGGGACCGTTACAGATGTTCCCCAAACGCTCCCCAACTCCCTTTTTGTGCCATATTCCCTGTAAGCTTCATTAAATAGGACAAACTTTATGCATTTGAGACTTTAACAACGTTTACCCAGAAGGGAACCAAGTTCATTCAAATTTTAGCATTGCACGCGTTCGCATGTGAATGCATGTGCGTAATGACCATATCATCTTGTCTACACAATCTATATACTTTTAAGTTACTTAATATTAAAGTATTTAATCCAAAAGTATTAAAAAATACGCTCATTCAATTGTATTTTTTATTTTACTCATTTCACGTGCACGCACGTGCACACATGAGCATGGTGACATACCTTCTTGTAGAAGTCTATTACCTCTATCTATCTTCCAAATCTCAATCTGTTTGGTTGAAAACTAAGGGAGTTATAGCTATTTAAAGTTTCAGCCAATCAGATTGCGGCGCGCGTACACGCACGTGTATGGATGTGCATGGTGACCATACTCTCTTGTAGAAGTCTATTATATCTATCTATGTTCCAAATCCCATCCTGTTTGGGTGAAAACCAAGGGAGGTATAGCTATTTAAAGTTTCAGCCAATCAGATTGCAGCGCATGTGCAAGCACGTGTTTTCATGAAAATTGTTATATATCATGTTGTAGTATATCCTAATGCATGGCTATGTTCAAAATTTCAAAGAATTTCATCAAAAAACAAGAAAGATATTGAGACTTTAGTTTCAGCCAATCAGAGCGAAGCGCACGTGCATGCGCGTGAGATCTTGCTATTTTGACCATGTCATATTGTCTATGCTACTACTATATCCTTATATTATGAGTTTCAAAGCATTTCATAAAAAAGGTAAAAATTTACGCCTATTTCAATTAAATCAGTCATTTCACGTGTTTTGCGCGCTCTTGCAAGCACGTGCACACAAAATGGCATGTTGACAATGTCACCTTATCTACATTTATAATATGTCTATATATTCTAAATATCAAAGCATTACATCGAAAAATGTAAAAGTTACGGCAATTTCAAGTATATTGGTCATTTCACGTGTTGCACGTGCGCGCTCTTGCAAGCACGTGCGCGCAAAATGACCTTTGTTCCGCAAATCTACATAACATGCCTACTTACCCTAAAAAGGTTTCCCCTTAATCGGATGTGTACTTTACAAGATCATTCGCGGACAAAATTTTCCCGAGAAGAAAAATAATAATAATAAGAAACAGAGTAAAAACAATATGTTCCCCAACTTCGTTTGGGGAACATAATAAGGATGAATTCTTTTACTTATAAAATGATTTACTAAGTATCAATACTTAATAGGAATTATATTACTTAGTAAATGAACTACTCATTTTTAGTAAATTATTATTACTTAATTTAGAGATAATATGCTTTCTATTTACTAGATTTTATGAATTATTACTAAGTAAATGTAATTCTGAAATTAATTAAAATCTAGAATATTATTACTTAAGAGAATGCTAAGT